GAGACAAAGTCTGGCCATCCTTGCTTCTAAGGAGCATTCGGGTGTTCTGCTTCCAACACATTTGTTTGTTTGGGCAGTCCATGGTATTTTCCAGGATTCTCTAACAGAACAATTCAAAGGCATCAATTCTTCTAGTTTTCCTTATTCGTTGTCCAACTTTCACATGCTTATGAAGTGTTTGAGAATACCATGGGATGGCTCTTTAACGTTTTAAAGAGGTCTTTTGCAGCAGATTTGCCTACTATAATACGTTGTTTGAACTCTTGACTGCTGCTTCCATGAGCATTGACCCAAGCAAAATGAAGTAAGTCTTTAACAACTTCAATCTTCTCTCAGTATATCAAGTCATCCTCTTCACTTCCAGAAAGCAAGATTGTGTTATCTGCATATCACAGATTGTTAATGTTTCCTCCAGTCCTAATGCCACATTCTTCATATAATCCAGTTTCTCAAATTGTTTGCTCAGCATATAGCTAGAACAAGTATGGTGAAATGAGACTACCTTGGCACACACCTTTCCTGATTTTAAACCACATAGTACCCCATAGTTCTGTTCATGGTTCTGCATAAACAATCAGATGTTCTGAAATTCCCAATTTTCACAATGTTATGCAAAGGTTGTTACGATCAACACAGTCTAATGCCTTTGCACAGTCAATAAAACACAGTTAAACATCTTTCTGATATTCTCTGCTTTTAACCAAGATCCAGCTGATGTCAACAATGATATCCCTAGCTCTGTGACTTGTTCTGAATCTGGTTTAAATTCCTGGCAGCTCCCTGTTGATGTACTGAAGCAATTATCTTAAGCAAAATATTACTTGCATGTGATATTAATGGTATTGTTTGATGATTTCTGTGTTCTGTTGGGTAGCCTTTCTTCAGAATGGGAACCAATATGGATCTCTTCCAGTTGGTTGACTGGATACTTATCTTCCAAATTTCTTGGCATAGACAAGTGAGAGACTCGCACAACATCAGTTTGTTAAAACATTGGTATTCTGTTAATTCCTAGAGCCTTGTTTTTCTCCAGTGTCTTCAATGCAGCGTGAACTAATTCCTTCAATACCACTGGTTCTTGATGATAATGGTACCTGTTGAAATTGATGTGTTTTGTTTTTTGTTTTTTGTTTTTTTTGGGTATGTAATTCTGTGTACTTCTTCCATCTTCTTTGATACTTTCTGTATTGTTGAATATTTTGCCCATGGAATCTTACAATATTATATAAACCAAAGCTTGAATTTTTTTTTCAGCTCTCTCATCTTAAGAAATACTGAGTGTGTCCTGTTTTCCTTTGGCTTTCTAACTCCAGATCTTTGCACATTACATTATAATATTTTACTTTGTCTTCTCAAGCTGTCCTTTGAAATTTTCTGTTCAACCCTTTTACTTCCTTGTTTCATCCATTTGCCTTAACTTCTCTAGGTTCAAGAGCAAGTTTCAGACTCTCTTCTGACATCCATTTTGGTCTTGTCTTTCTTCCCTGTCTTTTCAATGACCTTTTGCTTTCTTTATATGTATAATGTTTTTGATGTCCTCACAATTCCTCTGGTCTTCCTTCATCAGTATCTAATTGTTCTTGAGATTATCTCTCAATTCAGGTGGAATATATTCAAGGTCATGCTTTGACTTTTGTGGAATTTTTTTAATTTTCTTCAGTTCTAGCCTGAAATTGTATGTGAGCAATTGATGGTCTGTTCCACAGTCTGCCCCTGGCTTTGTTTTGGCTGATGATATTAAGCATCTCCATTGTCTCTTCCCACAAATGCAGTCAATTTGATTACTGTATATTCTATCTGTATAGTCTTTTATGTTGTTGGAAAAATGTAATGTATTTGCAGTTAATTCATAGTTAATCTGGTAAAATCATATCATGCAATCTCCAGCATAATTTCTGTCACCAAGGCCATATTTTTCAACTATTGATCCTTCCTCTTTGTTTCAAACTTTTGCTTTCCAATCACCAGTAATTATCAATTCATCTTGAGTTTTGATCTATTTCAAACTGAAGAAGGGGGTGATAGTAATGGTGGTTATGTACCACCAAGTCAGTTCCAACTCACAGCAACCCTTAATAGGGTTTCCAAAGCTGTAATCCTTTATGGGAGCAGAAAGCCTCATCCTTCTCCTGAGGAGTAACTAGTAGATTTGAACTGCTGACCTTGCAGTTAGCAGCCCAGCTCATAATCACTACACTACCAGCGCTCCTTGAAGAAGTTGGTAGAATTTTTAAACTTTATCATCACTGACTTTAGTGATTGGAGCATAAATTTGAATAGTAGTGTTATTAACTTCCTTGTAGGCATATGTATATTATCCTGTCACAGGCAACATTGTACTTCAAGATGGATCTTGAAATGCTCTTTTTGATGATGAATATGACACCTTTCCTCTTCAGCAATGGTTGTTCCTAGCATAGTAAACCATGATTGTCTGATACAAAATAATCAATACCAGTCCATTTCAGTTTACTAATGCCTAGGATATTGATCTATATGTGTTCTATTTCATTTTTTGCAACTTCCAGTTTTCCTAGATTTACATTCCAATTATTAATGGATGCTTGCAATTGTTTCTACTTATTTTGTGTTGTGTTCCATTATCAAATGAAGGTCTCAAAAGCTTTACTCTAACCACATCATTAAAGTTAACTCTACTTTAAGAAGGCAGCTATTCCCCAGTTGTATTTTGAGTGCCTTCCAACTTAAGTTGCTCACCTTCCGGCACTCTTATCAGACAATGTTCACTACTATTCATCAAGTTTTCAGTGACTGACCTTTCAGAAGTGGTCAGCCTCTCCTTCTTTCTAGTTTGTCTTAGTCTAGAAGCCCAGCTGATACCTGTCCACCATGGGTGACCCTGCTGGTATGTAAAATACTGGTGGCATAGCTTTCAGCACCACTAGCACACAAGCCACTGCAATGTGACCAACTGCCAGAAGAGTGGTGGAACTAAAGTATGCATGAATATAAAATATAGAAGTGTATTCTACAGAGATGCTCTGAGGAAACTAGGAAAGAAAATGTATCCAAAGCATTGTGATCATCTCTAGATTGTGAGAATTTCATTATTGCATGTTTGTGTTTTCTATCACTGACCTCTGTTAATATCAGAACAAGTCAAATAAGTTTCCAGAAATGCTATGCTGAAGGAGCCTTAATCCTTACTGGGGTGTGGCTCAAGTCCAGGGAGAAAAACACAGAGGAACCATTGCTGACCCTAATGGGTATCTTCTTCCTCTAACCATACAGGACATCATCGAAGGGGGCAACCTGCGCATCCCACTCCAGGAACTGCACCAGATGATCCTGACGCCCATCAAGGCCTACAGCTCCCCGAGCACCACCCCTGAGGCTCGTCGCCGCGAGCCCCAGGGCCCACACCAGCCTTCTCTGATGGGCCCTGAGAGCCAGCGCCCTGACTGCAAAGAAAGTGGAGGCGCTACAGCCACTACCGCAGCTGGGGCCAGCACTGGGCTGCAACCTCACCAACTGAGCAGCTGTGATGGGGAGCTGGCTGTTGCCCCCCTCCCGGAGGGGGACCTCCCTGGGCAGTTCACGCGTGTCATGGGCAAAGGTAGAGTCTGATGCTGTCTTCCATCCTTAAGTCTTTATGATGTCATTCTTTGGAACTGCAGGTTCCCTAGTGGCTTCCCCGAGGTGCTGATAAACTATTCTCAGGGGAGGAGGTACCATAGCTCCATTGTACAGATAGGAAACTGCAGCTCAGAGAGCTTACGTCATTTGGATTGATGCTCCTATTCTCCAGACCCCCAAAGGCCTGTCCCTTCAGTCATTCCCTCTACCTCCTATGGTGGTGCTCATCTAGTCACTGGACCCTCAAGGAGGGATGTAAGATCAACTCTGATGAAGGTGATTTTAGAATCAAATGATTTTACTCAGTGGCTGGGTGTTTCCCCAATGCAAAGGTGGGGGAGGCGTTGATACCTTTAATCCCCAGCCAGAGATGCCACTGCCCACAGGATGCCAGGCTCTGTTCAGCAGCCTCTCTCCCAGCCACTTGGCAGCATTTTGCACTCTCTGCATTTATAGTCCTCCTTGGGGGTTGATCCACCATACAAAATGCTCTAGTCATGATAGCTTGTGTTTTAATTAGTGAGTACTACATTCCAGGCAGAGTTCTCTGTGCTTTCCCTATGCAGTCAGCGTAATCCTCAAATTACCCCATAGGAGGAACCTGGCGCACACCGCGGATGGCAGGCCTGAGGTGTGAACCTTGTCATCTCTCCACCATCCATCCACACGGTGGCCACTGTATGTTCTTATAAGATCAGAAGAGGCCAAGGTTTCGTTGTAGTAATGGCCCTCTTTTGCTCGTAGTTGATAAAATCCAAACCTAAAGGGCTGCTTTTCATCTGGCCCCTTTTCATCTCCACTGCCCCCACCACCTCCACTTAGTGCTCAAGCCAGACTTGAGAGCTGAGTTTTCCAAAGTTTGCAAGCTTTCTGTACTCTAAAGCTTTGTGCGTATGTTCC